ATATTAATTTTGTTTTTATGGAGTATAATATACATTAGGTAGTGATAAAGTTAAAAAGTTATTAAATTTTAAATAAGAGTTAATAAAGTTTAAGATTTTTCTTGGTTTATATGAAACATAATAGAAATGACTTATAAATAGAATCAAAAGAGTACTCAATATATTTATTATTATCTTATTTTCTAAACCATCATCTCTTTCCATCACCCATTCCCTTTCTTTCATAATTCTCTTTATTATAATAATTTTTTATTCACTTTCTTATACTCTCTCCCATAAATAAGAGTATCTTGGAAAAAAAATTCTACATATTTATTGTTTTAAACTAATTTTAACTAACTTTTTTATTTTTGTAATTGAATTCAAAATTGCTTATAATAAGTGAATATAAGTCACTTTTTGCTGGTAAAAATTATTTTGGTTTTCATTTCACTTCTAATACATGTCAAACTTTAAAATATAATATCTATATAATAAATAAATAAAAACATCTTTTTTTGATAAATAGAGCAATTAATGTTCTATAAATCTTGCAAAATGATTTGCATTTTGAATCATATGTAAAATTCTAGGGCGTAGACAAGCCCATGGGTTCTATGGTTGGTAACGAAGAAGCCCAACTACTGACTCTGCATATTATTTTTATTAATTGAGAATTACCTCTTCACTTTTTGGTGTATCGATGCATCTGAACGATACAGCCATAGGTAGCTGTGGACAAGAGAAATTAAAATACAAGTCACTTATAATATATTTCATACAAATTAAGAAAAATATTAAATTTTATTATCTCATTTAAAATTCAACAACTTTTTAACTTTATTCCTACTTAATATACATTATACCTTACGTAAATAAAATCAACACAATAACAAGTAAATAGTAAAATTATATATCTATATAAAAAATTTTCTTAGTGCCCTATAAATAAGACCAAATTTTTTTTCTTTTTTTATCCTATGAATATGACCAGAGGAGTATCTAAATGGCTCAACTCGTCATCCAATCGTATTAATTAATTGGATGATTGGGATCCATGGGTTTGTGTGGATCTGAGTTGCATGTTGAATAGTCTCTGATCAAACTCGCCTTTTATTTCTAGTTTCTAATTAATTTCTTCGACCACTGGTTGGCTTTAGAGAACTTCTCATCACTTTCTTTATGAAAGAAACTTGAAGGCCAAGCCTAAGCGTGTTAGTCACTGTTGTCAAACTCGCAAGTTGACTCTCCGAGTTTAATGTTTTTATGTTTTTAGCTAACAAAATCGTGTCGATTCGTTCTTAAACTCTTGATAACTGTAAACTCAGTTAAACTTACCAGTTTATTTACCAAGTTTATCATTTTTACATTTTTAACTTACAAAATCGTATCAATTCGTTTTTAAACTCTTGCTAAATTTTTAAATTTGATTATGTTTAGTGACTTTATATATGATTTTTATAGAAATTTTTTTGCTGAATATGATAAATTATGAACATTGATAAATATAATTTCAATTATTTAAATTTAAAATATATTTAAATGAAATTGTTCTCATTTTTTATATATTAATTATTTGATTATCTACTTTTAATATCAGTTTATTAATAAAAGTAAACTCTTACGAGTTCACGATTCGAGTTTACAATTCAAATTTACATTATTATCACGAGTTTGACAACATTGGTGTTAGCTACGCACTAAGGAAAAAGTTAATGTAAGAAGAACAGTCAACTTGCGGTCAATTTGCAGAAGACTCGACCGGGTCCAAGTCCGAGTCAACTGGCTGAACAATCATGGAGTACTTGTTACGTGCGAGTCCATTATTGGTCATAACATTTATATATGCTCACTTTTCTGCTAAATAGTTTAAAGCTACCCAGTTCATTATTTCTATTTTACTTGTCACTGATCATATAAACTTGAAAACATGAGGAAGAGCACACCACTGTGTGTTCTGGCTTTGGATGTGTTTGTTTCATTCATCATTGTTAGCCACTCAGTGTAGGTTCCTGCAGGCGATGTTGGAGATTCAAGTAATTAGCTACGTACGCGCTAGGCCTGCTTTTAAATTTTTGCTTTAACTCCATTAGAGGAAGCTTTGTGTATTCCAGCTTACTTGACTTGAGAGTGATTGTTTTTTACAAATATATTCCTTATTGTTGCTAAAAGAGCACTTTCCTTCATCTAATTTCATGTAGGCTTTTAATTTGTTACTTTAATTTTATAAACTAATCTTTTTTTAGCTATCTAATTTTAACACCATCAGTCTCAAATTAAATAAGGGTTATGTTGTAGAAGTGGTGCGGATTAGTTTCTAATTATTTTTACCATTTAATGAGCATCTTATTTATTTATTTTTAATTTCACGAACAAGATTCAAGAGCAAGATTTTTTGATAAAATGGGAGGAGTATATTTGGGAATCAACTGGTAATAACGACAAAAGCAATCATTTGTCTTGCATATATAGGCTGCACAAGATTCAGTAAAATAGGTGATGTGGTATAGTCTGGATTGTTTTATATTTCACTTATCTTAATAGTATGGAGACGCACTTATTTCTTCTGCATCTATGAACACATGCACCGTGAAGTATGGATTCAAAGGCAGGCATTGAATTCATTATAAGACTTAGGAGGTACTTGGATAGAAACAAAATTATGATTTTAAAAATACTTTAACAGTATAGTAAATATGTGGAGGAGTTTACCTCCATTTGCGAAAAAGTGCTTTTCAAAAATACTTTTTGAAGTTACCAAACACCCTTTTACTCTTTTAGAAAATAAGATGCCATGCTGTCACTTTGACTTAAAATGAGATCTCTAAATTTGAAAGTTATAACTTGGTGAGTTTTTATACCAAATTAAATTTAATATGCTAACATTTATGAATGTTTAGTTAACATTTAAAATTTTTAATATTGATACTTTCTGTTTGTAAAACTCACGGTGTTAGGATTAGTGGAACAAAAAAATATTTTATAAAATTAAGGGATGAAAATAAAATATTATATAAAATTAAAGGTGCATTTTTATTCTTTATTATTTAATTAGTTCTACTATGTTATTTAGTTTAGTACAACTCGTGATGCATCATAAATATATACACTAAATTAAAATGGTAATCCTTTACTTTTCAAGGTGTAGGCTAAATCGTAAAAAATCTTATTAATTTTTAAAAATTTATAATAACAACTTTAAAATTTTACATTTATACAGATAATTCTAATACTATTAGTTTTGTTTATTATTTATATGCAAATAATTTAAATTTTGAGGATTTGATTGTTTACAACTCAAAATTTTAGAAGGCTATATGCATATCAAAATAAATTTTAAGGGGTATAAAATTAATAGTTTCGTGTTGCATGCATAGAATTTGAAGTCTGAGGAGGTTTATTATTAAATTTTAAAAGTTAAGAAAATTATTTATACATGATTCTACTTAAGTTTGAGGAAGTCTTATTTATTTTAGTCATAAAAAATTATTTATTGGTCAATACTATAAAGAGCCTTAGTTAAACCTTTAATTTATTCCAGTGCACCGGTTTTGAGGAAGAAATTCAAACTTTTATTCTACAAACGATTTATAAATCAACTTTTGGGATTTATAAGTAAAAACCAAACGGGTGTTATATGTATGCATGTATTCCTTAAGTCCACGGGCGCTCAGAAAAAACAAGTATTCTTCTAGTGTTAAATATAATTTACATTACAAAAATAGGACTTATATTTAGAATTGGAGGAATAGTTCATATTCACAAGTCTTCATCCTACATAATTGAAGCAAAGATAATCATAGTAGTATATACATTTTGATTTTCGTAGAAGGAGAATTTCTTAATAAATTTTTTTATTTACACATCAAACAAAGAGAGATTCTTGTATTCTCCTGGTCTATCACATCATTTGTGGTCTGACCAATAGCAAGCCAACAACTTAGGAGTATTTTAATTTTCTTCTTTTAATTTTTTTCATCTGCCAAACTAAGATTAAGAAGGTGCCAGATCAGATTAAAATCCCCCTGAGATGTTGACTTCTGATTGGTCAGACCACAAATGATGTGGCAGACCAGGATCACGCAGGAATTTCTCTCAAATATACGAGAAAGAAAAAGATAGGACCAGATGTTATTAAAAAAAAAAAACCCACGTATTTATATATTTTATAAATTTGGTGGGTATATTGATTTTTGATATAACATTAAAATTATCATAATTTGATTTTTATATTAAGATAGATTCTATTAATTTTCAGTAATAATTTAAAATTTTAATTTATTTCAAATTGATTTCAAAATTATTGTTTCGTTATCATTGTTTAGTTTATCATATTCAACCACATAATTTTGCGATCTCATTTGTTCTGTATGTGATGGTATTAATATTTTTCAATTTTTAAATTTTTAAAAAAATAAGAGCACCAAAAAATATCATTACGATTATAAATATTGCAATATTAATTGTGAATATTCATGATCTTTTGAGAGTTTTCTTTTAGAGTTTTTTACTTAATTAACAGCTATATAACCTACAACATAAATAACTGAGTGAGAGTTTTTCATAACTAATACACATAACATCCAAAAGTTATGTATTCTACAATTATTTAGATTTATTTTTTGTTGTAGCTGTTGAAATAGAGTTTAAGGACTTATAGCCCATAAGTAGTGGGATGTACTAAGTGATTGTAAGTTTGAAGTAAATGAAAATTGACTACTTCCTATTTTTCCTCTAATTTTCCCCATCTCCCTGGTTTCAATCTCTTGTGATTTTTTTTTTCATAACAATCACAAACACTTAAAAAAATTTCTTTTAAAGTTTAATTGTTTCTTTTTCCCTCTATGTGCTTTAATAAGTGAAACTCAATTGTAACAACTAGAAATATAATATGATTATTTGTAAGATGTTTGAAAAAATCATTTCAAAATGTTGCATATTTCAATGGAAAAATGACAAAAAAAACCTTTAAAATTGTGAAATCCAAAATCCAAAATTGGGACGGGAAGAAGTTTTATTATATGGCAGATGACGGAAATGTTGTGGACTCGGGTCAGATATATAAGTTATCTTCTGAATACGCCCTTGACAGTAACGATGAGCAGGTTTGGCAGCAGTTGAACACTGTGAGAAGTTTTCCAGAAGGGAAAAGGAATTGCTATACCCTCAAACCCAAACAAGGCAAAAACAACAACTTTCTCGTTAGAGTTTACTACAAGTATGGAAATTATGATTACAATAATTCTGCTCCAGTCTTCCAGTTCCATCTTGGCGTCAATTTCTGGACAAGATCGGGTAATAACAGTGACCTTAGAAGAATGGAGGCCATTCGTGTTTCTCGAACCAACAAAGTTGATGTGTGTCGTATCAACATTGGCCGTGGAATACCCTTCATTTCGTTGCTCCAACTATGGCCTCTCAAGGATTCTATATATCCGAACGATTCCGATTTCTCGCCGCTAGGCCTCATGACACGCTCTTCTTGGGGAACATCTAAAGCAGATTATACTTTCATCACGTAAACTATTTCAATCTATTCGTTACTTGCTAGTACTTACTTATTCATTCAACCTGGATTAATTAAGCATGGCTTGTTCTTCAAATAATAATGCAGATACCCAGATGATATCTACGATAGCTCATGGTTCCTCCGTAGAGAGATCGAAAACTCAGAGCCAATCACCACATCGGTTCCGATCGATGGCGATGTGTCAAACTATAAATTACCCAGAAAAGTGTTGGGCACTGCAATTCGTTCACGGAACGGTTCGTCCTCTTTAGTTATCGAGTTGGATTACAGTACAGATTACGAGTACTTTGTTTACCTTCATTTTTATGACTTCGAGGAGCATTCTCAAGATCAGCAAAGAAAGATGGAAATTACTTTCACGGATACGATCCGAGAGAACATAACTCTTCAATACCGGGTGCTCAAAACCATGGTGAGGAGGATACCCAAGGGGGAATATCTTAGTAACATTTCAATCACATCAACCCCAGATTCTGGTTTGCCCCCCATGATCAATGCTCTTGAAATCTATAGAGTACTGGCCCAGTCGGATTCACCAACTCAGGAAGGGGATGGCAAGTATTACATATTTTGTTATCTTATCATTCTCCTTTTACAATTACTTTTAAGAATGAGCGCCCATGCATGTTAGGCTACTCTGGTCTATCATATTTGTTTTAAGTTTTTTATCTAGATTTAGCACCAGATCATTTAAGATTACGAAAAAGAAAGTGGTTTTAGTTAACTTAAACATAACAAAATTGTTAGGAGCAGGGTTCGTAATAGGGAAAAAAAACATTCTTTTTGCTTTTTTTATAATAAATTGAAAACAGAACTTTTGTGATTTGCTTAAAGTTCTCCCAACAGCTTCCCATGCTCCCAACAATTTTCTCATGTTTAATTAACCAAATTCGCACGGGAGCTTCTTTTACATGAATTATCATCAGTCTCTACACACTGATCTTTGATTCTGACTGATCATGTCTAACCGTGAATGCTATGCGGATTGTGAAACAAGCATATAAAATCACCAGAAATTGGCAAGGAGATCCCTGCATGCCACGCAGTTTTAGTTGGAACGGTCTGAATTGTAGTTACTTTGGCAACATTCCCAGGATCACTTCATTGTGAGTAGTCTTTGGATGTTTTAAAATTTGTTAGGTTTGATAACCTAAGTATATTCCACTGTTCATGCTGTTAATTTATTGATATCTCAATCAATGTTGTTCAAGGAGCTGTAAAGGAGTTTACATATTTGTTGTGACGTCCAATATCTCTCTTCTTCCTTGCTTATTGTAGTGAAATTTCCATTCTTGACCACATATGAGCAGGAACTTGAGCTCAAGCAAAGTGACTGGACAGATAAATACTTCATTTTCCGATCTCATATCGTTGGAGTCCCTGTAAGTATTTAAGGAACCCCGACTTGAATTTTTTTAGGTCTACATTCATTGTCTGCGCAACGCATAATAACCCCCATGCAGTAACTTCATCTGATTAATATGTCTCATGTTGTAGGGATTTGTCCAACAATCAGTTGACGGGGAGAAAAACCTGAAGTTTTAGGAAAACTACCCAATTTGAAACTACTGCAAGTTGCAATGCTTTAGCATATATATATAGAGGAATAATACCTTCTAGTTCAACAAATCTATTGTGATTTTCTCATGTGATGTTTTAGTAATTTGTCAGGGAACAATCTAAGTGGTCCAATTCCAAAGGCCCTAACGGAGAAGAACGGCAATCCTTTAATCCTGAGGTTTAATTTGCTTATAGCAACACACTTAATTCATTCATCGGCAGTTGCATTGTCTGCGTAGCATGGCACTTCTTCTGCTTTGATTGAGAATATTCGGAAGAACTTCTTCTATTCTATCTTCCTTCACTAGTGTATTTTAGTTTCAAACACATTACTAGTACTTTTCTTCATTTAGGATACCATTAACAGTCTTCCATATTGCCAGATGCTAGCTAGTTGCATAGTAATATGCAGATGATGTTCTACCATACGACTCGCAGTTACTAACTGGTGCCTTTTCTTTCCTTCCCTTTCCCCTAGTTTGGATGGAAATCCAAGTTTCTGTCAGAGGGGTGCTTGCAAAAGCAAAACCAAACCAAAGAAGCCCATTATTCCAATTATTGCATCTGTAATACCTTCTGTAGCAGTCCCTCTTAATAGTAATCTGCATTTATGTGAAGCTTTGGAAACATAAAAAGAAAACACAAAGTGGAAGGTATCCCAGGTGAGCTTACACCCTCAGTCTTCTTTATATCCATTTTTCCTTTATGAATCTTTGGAAGCATTTATTGTTTTACAAATTTCGTGCTTTAATCTACTTTACCGCTTGTCGCGTTCCTCTTCATCATTTTTGGATTAATTCTCACCGGTCACCAGTCACCACAATCGTTTACTAGTATGAGAAAGTCTCTGCCCAGCTTCTCCCTCCATTTTTAAAAATAAGAACATTTTATGAGATCATTTTCTCAGCTGTCTACCGCATTTATTATTTTTGACGAAAACGCTCCCGTATTAAATATGCACAAGTTAAGTTACTTGATTAATTAATGGAGGTTTTCTCACATTAATTACATTGAAGAATATTACTAGAAAATAGTGTCAATTACTGACAAATTTATTGTTTTTAATTAACGTAACTACAGTTACTAAAATTTAAAAGATTATTGTAATTAGTAGAAATGAGGAGTACTGGTTGACAATAACTAAGTGGAGAACCGTTAATTAAGGATGAAATGCAACACCTCACTTTTATATACTAATAGGATCATTTTAACGTCTGTGAATCACTAACGCCAGGTTTTCGTCCTGGGAAAAGACAGGGAATTTTTTTTCTCCTTTAACATTGGAATCCGTTGATCAAATATTTCAAACCTTCAGATAACTGATGAGTGATCCAATATCAACACTGCTTTCAACTTAATCTATTATCACCTAAAATAATTTCATACTATACAATCTTAAAATATTATATTAAAAATAAAGCAACGCTCTTAGTTGTCAGCATATACGTGCACCTGGCAATGCTCACCTCCTTCTTCTAGAGGATACAAAATAATATTTCCATAGAGCAAGTGAAATTACTTGCCCATATATTTTGCTATACAATTTACAGAATTATAACAGGTATCTCTGCTCTTCAACCAGCTCACCTTCTTCTCAAACAACCTCCTTATCCTTCGAGCTACTAGCCTTCACTGTTCATCATAAATGGGAGGGTGAGATTCTAAAGAATCCCCGTAGTAGTAATTTCCATCAAACAAATGTGCAGATCACATAAAGCATGCAAAACAAGCCAAAGTGGAACATAACCTTGCAAGCTAATGCAATTAAGCATTTATGCGCAATGACAGATAGACAAACTGATTAAATAATGCGCAAATACTTGGCAATCACTGCCCCATGTCTATTAGACAAGCTGAATAAATAATGAGCACATAATTGGCAATCACTGCCTCATGTCTATTAGACAAGCTGAATAAATAATGCGCAAATAATTGGCAATCACTGCCGCGCAAATAATTGGCAATCACTGCCCCATGTCTATCAGCTACACGTGATCACGGCTAAATAATCCATGCAAGGAATTAAGGATTACATGTTCTCATGCTTTAGAAAAGCAATATGGCACAAACAGACATGCAGCAATCATACACAAGTGTAAGGTAGGAAAGAACTACTACCTGAACTTTCTGCTTCAAAATCAAACCTTACTTGTTTCCTTTCTCTTAGCTTCTTCGGTGGGCTTTTGCAGATATCAAAACCTATTATTTTAGTAAGGGTAGGTTAATGCTTGATCCAGCTAAAATTCATAAATTAGAAATCTCTCTTTAAATCCCAATCCTTTTTCAATCTCTCTACCCTTACTTAATAGTTGGTCATCCTGGACAATTTTCTTATTTAATACATTTACTGTGGAGAGTTTCTCTCTTTATCTCAGTCCAAATAGTTACTTTTCTTAGTAACTGGTCATCTTGGTCAAAAATACTATTTCTATTTATTATATTTTAAGGACATTCCTTAAGTCCTCCCCTTATTAATCCTCACATTTCTTTCATAGACTTTTGAAGATATTAATACAATCACAGTACTTCTAACCATAACCCTATGATTGGTCGAGAGACACACCCAAACATTTACAATTACTCAACTATATTCATTTTAGTTTACAAGTTGTACCAATATTTTTCATGATCAAGTTACTGCCATCGTTGTACTTTCCAAATCCATATAATCCTTTAGTTTAAATCTAAAAGAAAATTTCAGATTGAAGGGCAATAGCTAAATCACTCAATTCAACCTTTTATAGGTTCTTTTATCAATAAACTCCAATGATTTAATACTTCCTCATATCAAAGTATCCCTTAGTTCAAAGCTTCACATTTTAGAGTTCTAATCAATTTTCTCCTTCAAAATTCTAAAGTCCCCAAGCTTCAACCATTTCTATTCACCTTTCGATCATATAACAAATTAACTTACATAATCATCACTTATCATTCAAAACCTTAAGAACAAACCATACATGGTTCTCCTCCTAGTAAATTTTGAGTATCAAGGTTCTAAAACCACACTCTTATTTATTTATTTATTTAGACAGCATTTCCACATCAACTCTAGGCTTCCAAAGTCAATTCTTCATATCACCACTACTTCCTTCTTTCTCATATATCTCTCGCTACTCACATTCCAGCTCCCACGGTCACACTTAAGCAATTATATAAATATATAAAACCCAAACTCAACCCCATTCAGCAACAAAATCATCATCTTTCTTCATTCCATTTAAAACCCGATACATCCATGTATAAACATACATCTCCGCCACTTTAGTTTCTAAAATTTCAGTCCCATGACAGCAACATTAATCAACATATCAGAGACATCAAAATTGGAAGACCCGTAACCTCCCGTCACTAAATCAACCAGAAGATATATACTTATATGTACATATAACACAGGCCCATAAACTAAACTTTATTCTGCTACAGATTGTGTATACATATAATATTATATTATATTCTTCCTAACTTACAGAACCTGAAGCTACAAGTATCGAAACTATATATATATATATATATCAGTTCGGTAATCTCAGGATAGAGTATCAACCTTACATGCAAGCTTGAAAACCAACGTCAAACACTTCAATCTACCCATAGAATCTGAATCCATCGGTCCTCTTATCCTTTCCATCACTTTCTCTCACTACCCTTCTGTCTCTCTCTCCTCAAACACGCCATAACCACTCGGATAACAGGAAAGAGAATGGTGGGAGGTTGATCAGGATGCTCACCTGGAATGTTTGATCGGTTTGCATGCACTGGATACCACCTCCGATCACCAGATTCAACTCAGCCTCCTCTCCGTCGCCGACTTCTTCCTCTCGTGCTTCCTCTCTCTCTCGCTCGCGCTCTCTATCTCTCTTTTCTCTGGACACCGAATGAAATGAGCTAGACGCGTGGTAACCAGCTGTTACATGGAGGAGTGAATTTAGACGCGTGGAAGACCAGCTGTGCAACGGAGAAACGATTCAGACGTCTTGCGGACATGATTGCTGAGTCATTTTGCCCTCCTCAATAATTATTCTTCCAATCCTATCCCTTTTCCTATTTTTCTGAAATATAAGATATATCCAGAAATTAAACCAAAATATCCTGAATGGATTTTTCTTATCCATCACAACTGGTTATCCTAAAATTCTCAGATTAAATATAAATCTCTAAGTATTTTTCCATAATTTCCAGAGAAAATAAACCATTCTTCTCTTAAAATTATCTATTAAAATTATTTAAGCCATTTTTGGGGAAATACCTTTTCCAAAATGTCTCTAAACCCTAAAAATCATTATTCCAAAATTTTCCCCCTTTATTTGGCAAATAAATAATTTTAATCAATTTTTCTTTTTTCTACTCATCCTAAATCATAAAATTCGGGGTGTTACATGAAACATGAAAATTTATACAGTGCTAATTTAAGGATGGATTAATTAGTGAGGTAGTACGTCAGATGCATTACCCGGAACGTAACTTCCTTTGTACTAGTATGCAATAGAAGTAGTCTTTTATTATACTTAATATAAGATCATTTGGAAAATTTAATAAAACATTTATAATCTATTTCGGAAAATGCCCTTTCTTTTTCACTCTCTTAGCTTGATGATGACTTTCCCATCCTCAAACAACGAATTATACCAATCAAAGGGAAATTTTGGAAAGTTGTAAAAAATTCTAAAATTTAACTGCTTTTAGCTAATTTATTTTATTGTACATGCCTTTATAAAAGAGACATAAGTGAGTAATTAAAAATGTCTGAACATTTTATTGTACATATGTTTATTGCTAAAGTAATCCAAGTTCAATCATTAATACATGATACTATTGGAATTTCTCTTCCACTTGTAGCGACATCATTTTAAAATGACGGGAATCTAAAATGGAAAAACGGTGCTTTTAATCACATGCAACTTCTTGGTATTACCAATTCCTTTGAGACCGTTATTGGACAAGGGGGGTTTGGCAAAGTGTACCTGGGCACACTACAAG